TACCCCCTGTTTTGTTCTATAGTGATCATGTCATTTTGTTGTATTGGTAATTCAAATAAAAATCCATTTTTGAATAATAATACACTATTACAACTATTTTTTTTGGATTTATCCTACATTCCACCACATTATTCCACTATTTTCCCATCATACCCTCAATAATTCATATCATCTTTCACTATTCTTAATTTACCAACTTTTGAAATGGGAAGATTTTAAAGTTACGGAGGGAGTATTTATAATCAAAAGTACCCCCTCCGCCCCCTAAGTTTGAGACGTGTGGTGTGGTTTTTAAGAAAAATTAGAATTGTATGGTTGATATTGAATTGATAAAGTGTGAATAAAGTAAAAATGAACTATAGCCACTCAAATATTACCAAATATGATATGAGACAAATTTAATGGGACGATCGAAAAAAGTAAAGCGGGACAAAGTTAAGGGGACGGAAGTAGTGCTGGACTCGGGCCAGTTCGGGCCTGGGCCCGGCCGGGCCTCGGGCCAGGAAAGTTGGGCCCGAACCGCCGGTGGGCGGTTCCGGTTCCGGGCCAAACCGGGCCGGGCCGGGCCTAACCGGTTATATTTTTTTTTTTGGCTCTTCTATTTAACCTCCAACCCCTCCCCCTCAACCCCAAACCACCCCAAACCACCTCAAATGGCCCAAAATACCTAATCCAACCCAAAACTTAAAAAAAATTCAAAAAAAAAATTAAAAACCGGCCCGAACCGGGCCCGAACCGGCCGAGCCGGTTCACCCAAAAAAGGGCTCGAGCCCGAACCGCCCAGCAGCCGGGCCGGGCCGAACCGAACCGGTGGACCCACCGGGCCCCGGGCCGGGCCAAACAGTAACCGGGCCGGACCGGTTCCGGGCCGGGCCGCCCGGCCCGAGTCCAGCACTAGACGGAAGGAACATCATTTTGAACTTTTAGGCCGTATACATTAACAAAGCAGTACTACCACAACATTTTTTGAGTAAGACGGATCGTTTGAAGTCTAATAATAAAGTCAATCATGGTGTACACAATTTCGTTTATATCATTCACACATTTTGTATGTCTACGCAAACAAAATTATTTGTAGATACACAACTTTGTAATCTATAATAAAGCAGAGTCTTATTGCTAGCTACATCACAACCTAATAGATGGATAATATGCAGTATTATACTTCCTATTTAATCTTTATATTTTGACTTACATTCGTATTAAAAAAAGAGGTAAATTTTGTTCTGGAATATGTTGTTTGGCAATGTTGACACTCTTTGACGATGTTTTACACGTTTTTGTTTACCAAGTGAGGAAATATATATGACTTTTTTTTTGCTCATTATAGGACTTTATTAAGGGAAGATTAGACGGGGATAGTATTATTTTGATAAATAATACTCCGTATATCCTACTTATTATTTAAAAAAGAAAAATCCTACCTATTATATTATAAACCCGGCTGACATCGACACTTGCGAAAAAATTGTGAATGTTTTGGTATATTTTAATAATGCAACTCAAACTTTTAGTCATGTTTATAAACCTACCGCAAACGAATTTTTTGTTGAAGCTGTTAATCTCGCCGACGCTTTTTGTGAATTTTCTGATGCCGCTTACGTTAGTAATTTTTGTGATTTCATGAAACAAAAGTTTTTAAAATATTATTCACATATTCCGCATATATATGGTATTGCATTTATTCTTGATCCTCGCTTTAGACTTGCTTCTTTGCCAAATTGTATAGATTACTATTATGCTTCTTTTTTTTGTCCAACTCAAATGTTCGACGATCATCCCATAGACCCTAAACAAGAATTCAACGAGGTTAATAATTTATTTCATCAATTATACAATGAATTTTATGCACGATATGGTAATGCACCCCCTCCCCCGACACGAACATATTGATCTAAAGGAAAATCACTTTTTAAATCTGCATTTCGCAATCTTATGAAAAAAAATAAAGCAACTCCCGTTAATGAACAAAGCTCAGTTAATGAGCTTTCTATGTATCTAACATTTCCTGTTGATTATGAAGAAGGGGATGACTTTGACGTTCTAAAGTGGTGGAAGGAAAAAGAAAGAACGTTCCCGGTTTTATCAAAGATGGCTAAGCAAGTGCTAGCAATGCCGATATCAACAGTTGTCGTGGAACAAAAATTTGCACCCGCCACTTCATGGAGGAAACAACCGAAGGCAGAGATTCCGATTGATTATTTATTAGAAAATGTGTTTCATTTATTAAATTTTCTCAATTCTCAATTGTACTTCTTATTTCAAATATATATACTTGAACTTTTTTATACCTAGCAATTCTTGAATTCATTGGACAACAAAAAAAAATTAAAATTTAAGCCTGGAACCGTCCCGACCCGACCCGGTAACCGGTCGGGTGGCCCAGCCTGACCCGGAACCGCTGCCTACCCGGGCCGGTTCCGGTTCTCCCTTCCCCAATAAAAAGCCCGGCCAGGCCAGGCCCAGTACCTGGCCCGGACCGGAACCGGTCCACCCCTAAACTAAACTTGGATGATTAATCAAGAAGAACATTAGACCAACCACGTCCACGTTAAATAAGACATTTATTGGAAGAGAACCCAATTTCATATCCTTTTTATTACATTCTTGTTTTTTATACTCCTATTGCTTGTGAACGCCGTCCGTCTTGCGTGCCTGCAACGTTTTAAATCCCAAGTTCTTAAAACCAAGACACTCGCACACTTCATAAACATCGTCTGGCAATATTCCAGTTGTTATACCGTATGACCGGTATACGGTGAGCACCGTATACCGGCATACGGTTTTTGGCAAGCATCGTATTTGGCAAGCACCAAATCTTTATTTTTTATTTCTCTTTTTTAAAAAATGGTAATAACTTTTTTATTTTTGATCCGATTTTTATAAAATTTATACCAACATTTTTAATTTTTCATGATCTTTCAAATGAGACCAATATTGCCTATGTAATTTTAACCTATGTAAAATATGTAATTTTACGTGTAGAAATATGTAACTCACGTCCAGTCAGGCCAAATGCAACTCGTGTGTATAAATATGTAAATCTACGTGTAAAAATATGAAACTTTACTTAAAAAAATATGTAACTCGCGTTCAGACAGGTCAAATGCAACTTGTGTGTATAAATATGTAACTCGCGTGTATAAATATGTAACTTTATGTGTAAAAATATGTAACTCTACGTGTAAATATATGTAACTCGCGTTCACGCAAGTCAAATGCAACTCGTGTGTATATATATGTAACTCGCGTGTAGAAATATGTAACTTTACGTGTAAAAATATGTAACTTCACTTATAAAAATATGTAACTCACATGTATAAATACCTAATACAATAAATTTTTTATATACACAATTTTAAGATAATTTGTGATTTACACAATTATTTTTCTGTATTAAATTTAGTTTGGTTTTCCTTATAATCCAATACACATTAATATAATAGTTCAATAATTTGTTAAAATTACATAAGCAATATTGGTTTCATTTGAAAGATCATGAAAAATAAAAAATGTTGATATAAATTTTATAAAAATCGGATAAAAAATAAAAAAGTTATTACCATTTTTTAAAAATAAAAGGATAAAAAACAAAGAAACCAGGTCTCAATAGTCCGTCGTTTTGCAACCGGGCGCACCATCCTCATGGTGCGCCGGTTGCACGATATAATTTGCGCAATATTCACTCCTCTTCACCGCTTAATTATTACTCCGTATTTCATTCCTTTTTCATCTTTTAATCGATAGATTTGAGTGTTCTTTGTAATTTTCGAAATTTAGGTTTTTTTAAATTATTGATAGCTTTTAGGCCGAAATTATTACGGAGCACATTTTATTCTAATCTTGATGCATGTTATGCATGTTTTAATCCTCTTGTACCCTTTCCAAGTATTTATTTTAAAAAATTTTGAGATTTTTGCTATTGGGTTGAAATTAAGGGTAAGGGTTTTCGAAAATCCCAAATAATTTTTGAAAATTTCCAACTTGATTTTTGTTAATTGCATCTGATAGAGTATATGGGTCTGGACACAAACAAGATTACCAGCTACTAGAATACACCTCGGCTTGGCCCCCTGGGCTAGACGAGACCGCCCACACAGATGAAACCCAGAAGATGAAGATTAATTAAAGTCCCGAATCAAGAATGATCACCTTGATTGGGCTCCCTCAACCCGGTTCCCTTGGCCAAGCTCCCTCGACCTGGTCCCCTCGGCCTGGCCACCTGGGCTAGACGAGACCGTTCACACATATGAAACCCAGAAGATGAAGATTAAAGTCCTGAATCAAGAATGATCACCTCGATTGGGCTCCCTCAGCCCGGTCCCCTTGGCCAGGCTCCCTCAACTTGGTCCCCTCGGCCTGGCCATCTCAGACGGTACCTTCAACGAGTAACTTTACTTTGTACTTAGTGGAGTGAGCGCATGTAAATAGCTCATTAGCGGCCCATTATCATAATCGGACCTCCCATGCCAAAGACCTGGGAGCCCAACTCATATTATTACCTCTATAAATACTCCTCTTGAGGTAGTTGTAGAGGGTTTAATTATCATTATATACAAACCACTTCTTTCTCTATCTCTCCCTTTTCTCTAAGACTATAGTCTATCAGCATCTTTGATTTAGGTTGTTATTGTCTTGCTTATTGTTGTGTCGATTTGTGATTTAGTCAATTTTTCAATTTTTAAGGGAAGTCATGCCAAAATTTTGAAAACTTGACTTGAAATGTTTGAGTTTGCAGGACAAATGACATCAAGAGAAAGGTATTTGGATATCGGGGCTGGCCAAGCAAACCCCAAACGAGTTAAGAATTGAACACAAAAGCTCTTACTACCGCCCCCACTATATTGACGGCAAGCCGCTCCGTCAATGCGGAGTACGTACTACGCACGGTACGTGGAATCTCGGGACAATGACATTGTCATTGAGAAAACAGTCTCGGAGGCAATTGACCAAGAACACCGGCTAGTTGAAGGATTAATTAAAATTTCTTGGGAGGTCGTGCTCCACCTCCATGTACCTACTACCCGCAACTAGTCAAGGAGTTTTATGCCAACGTCATTGAAAGGAAAAACATGAAGAATACAATTGAGAGTGAACATCCACATCACCAACGAACTCCTCAAAAGCAATTTCAACATCACCAAGTTGGGTCGTCCCTTTGCTCTTAACATGGACGGAGAAATTGGGAGTGACCCCTACTACAACCCAATCACGGCGGCTCAATATTTCGGACTTCAAGAGAAGTTGGGTGCCCGAAAGCTCAGACAACTACACAATCGGGCTATCTTTATTCTTTTAACGTCATGCCAAGAGCTAGTGGGCTCAACAAGATGCGTAGCGCCGATCTCTATTTCGCCTACAAGATGCACACCAACATTGGGGAGATATATGAGATTCCTCTTCGGGTATCATTATCAAGCAATTGTGGAAAATTGTCTTAAGTCAGACTCAAGATAAGACATTTGTTTTTCCCATTCTACTTTCTAACATTTTTTGGCATTTCAATGTCAACGTTAGGGGAGAAGAAGCCCGAGAGACATACTTCATACTCGACGATGATGTCATATCATGCGACATCTTCACTGCTTCCAAGAGGCACCCGACGCACCTTGGAGATGTGTACTCAATTTCCATTGGGAACTTCAAGGAGAAGGGGAAGCCCAAGAAGAAGCCGAAGACGAAGAGCAACACTAAGAGGGAGCAAGAGCACCTCCAACCGTAGCACCTTACAGGCTTACAATATGGATTACTTGACCAAGCAATTCGATCTAATCCATACGGAGCTAGCGGAGCACCAACTGGATTTGAGGGAGCAACGACATCATTATTGTCTGGAGCATTTCAAGGAATGAGAGAGCACCTATGGAGCATGAATCATTATTGTCTGGAGCATGAACCATTCCTTGATCCTAGTTTTCAATTTCCGTACTTGCTACTTATGTGCTACGTAGTACGACTTGTGCTTATTGTTAAAATTGCTAATTATTTTTGTTGACAAGCTTTTATTGATTCTTGTGATTTTGACATTGAAACAATGTGATTTAAGTGTGAGGAATGATTTTAGACTTTAAATTTTGAGGATTTTTACAAAAAAATAATGTTCGTGTTTGATCTCATTTGTTTTTCAAAATACACTTAGCATTTAGCAAAACGTTTTGTCCCCCAAATCCTTTTTTCAAAAGAACACAAATTTAATCTTTCAAAAGGCTTTTCTTAAATCATTAACACAGATTTTTTAAATTTGTTTGAGGACAAGCAAAATCCGTATTAAACGTATTTGCATATTTTCTTAAGTGTGACATATTTGATAAACGTATTCTTAACACTTTAACAGGTTTTATACAATGATACTCCGTATTAAACACTTTTATACTTCGAAAGAAAAAAAACCTCACATTTGCATCTAGCTAGTCAACTTCATACCGTCCAAAAGTTGTCACATCCGACATATACTTATGTATAGTGTTTGCGAGCTACGCAAGAAGCTGCGGACTACCACTCTTTCCCTCCCCCGTGACCAAAAAACTTTCCGTCTCTTTCCCACTTCCATTTTCCACATTCCGGCCCTTCTCCGATCATCATTTTCACTCCCTTTTAAATCCCGCATTTTTATTTTCTAGGTTTAATATGTGAACATGTTTTATTTCTTTGAAATTGCAACCCCATTTTGCACTTTCTCCTACATGTTCCGATTTTTGCAGACAACCGCCTTATGTCTGGCGGTGACTTTGCTTCTGGGCCGTCCGGCGGTGGCGGAGTGGGAAACATGCTCGTGGATAGTTCCGATGAGGCACCGGAATGACAAGATATCGATAACGGACTTCGGGGGCGTCGGAGACGGCCGGACGTTGAACACCAACGCTTTCAGGGAAGCAATTTACCGAATAGAGCGGATGAGGAGGAGGGGCGGGACCCTTCTTTACATTCCGGTGGGGGAGTATTTAACCGGACCTTTCAACCTTACGAGTCACATGACTCTGTTCTTGTCCAGTGGGGCTGTGATCAAAGCCATTAAGGTACCCCAACCCTCTCTACCCCCTGTTTTGTTCTATAGTGATCATGTCATTTTGTTGTATTGGTAATTCAAATAAAAATGGTTTTTTGAATAATATAACTAGTTGAATATTTATAATCAAAAGTACTCCATCCACCTCCTAAGTTTGAGACATGTGGTGTGGTTTTTAAGAAAAATTAGAATTATGCGATTGATATTGAATTGATAAAGTGTGACTAAAGTAAAAATGAATTATAGTCACTCAAATATTACAAAATATAATATGAGACAAACTTAATAGAACGAACTAAAAAGGTAAAGCGGGACAAAGTTAGGAGACGAATAGCATTTTGAACTTTTAGGCCGTATACATTAACAAAGCAGTACTACCACAACATTTTTTGAGTAAGACGGATCGTTTGAAGTCTAATAATAAAGTCAATCATGGTGTACACAAATACACAATTTCGTTTATATCATTCACACATTTTGTAGATACAAAATTATTTGTAGAGACACAACTTTGTAATCTATAATAAAGCAGAGTCTTATTGCTAGCTACATCACAACCTAATAGATGGATAATATGCAGTATTATACTTCCTATTTAATCTTTATATTTTGACTTACATTCGTATTAAAAAAAGAGGTAAATTTTGTTCTGGAATATGTTGTTTGGCAATGTTGACACTCTTTCACAATGTTTTACACGTTTTTGTTTACCAGGTGAGGAAATATATATGACTTTTTTTGCTCATTATAGGACTTTATTAAGGGAAGATTAGACGGGGATAGTATTTATTTGATAAATAATACTCCGTATATCCTACTTATTATTTAAAAAAGAAAAATCCTACCTATTATTTGTCATATAACAGTCTCAAAAATACAGTTTAATAAATAAGTAAATTTTATAACATGATCTAAAATTTTACTCGTACATAATTTAAATAAAGAAAGATATAATCTTATTTTATTATATGCGTAAAATACATAAAATAATGGAGGAAGCAAATACTCCGTAGTTATTAGATACTCAATTAGCAAGATGATGGTGGGACCAAATTTAGATGAGGAACACCGAACATGCCCTATGTATGGTGTTTAAAATATTGTGACTTGAAAGATATACAATTGAACAGCTATGAGTTGGATAACTATAAGAAAGCATTGTATTCCACTTCAAAATAATGGCTAAAGATAAAAAAGATTAAACAAATAAAAATATGAATGCCCATATCCTTTACCACTCCACGTTATGATCTTAGCGGGGCAGCCCATAGCTATACTTTCAAGTTTCAATTTTCTCAATTACAAGTAAATTCCACATTATCTTCAACTGTGAAATTACATTGGGATGCTACAAATAAGAATTAATTTTATTTTGATTTCTTTTTCTCAAATTATATTAGATTCGGGAGTTTTTTTCAAAAATAATGTTGAAGAAAAAATTATTTATCAAATTAATGTTGAGTCAAAACTTATTACCAAAATACTGCTGCCTCCAACCAGGGTTAATAAAAGTCGCCAAATGAAAGGCCGACTTTCGTTCCTATCAGTTTCGCGCAAGGGACAGCCGGCTGCCAAACACAAATAGAGAGCTAGTGGGACCCATGTTAAATAAAATCTTTTTATTCTTTAAATGACCATAACTTTTTTAATATAACTTCACTTTTGACAAAAAATATATCAAAATTCATAATTTTTTATGATCTTTCATATGACACCAATAATGCTTATATAATTTTTTAAATAAAATTAAAGGCCATATGGTGGAGTACTCCCATAGTCCCATATGGTGTCCAACTTAAATATCAAAAATCTGTTTCTATAAAAAAAAATTCTCACGGTACCTAACTTAGGCTCAAAATACATATGAAAATTTATAATTTTTTTAAAATCTTTAATTTGACATCAATATTGCAAATACTACCTCCGTCCCCCTTTTTATTGTCCCTTTACGGTTTACGATGTTTGACCAACGATAAAATAAGCGAATCCTTCTTCGCACTCAAATTATTTTTAGGGTAAAAAAATGACGTATTCAGAAACTACATTAAAAGATGTACAAAGTCGCAAAAGCCTGAATCAAATTTGATAAATTTTTTATTAGGGCTGGGACTTAGAACCGAAAACCGGGAAAAGCGATCCGAACCGAACCGAAATTTCCGGTTCGGTTCGGTTCCTATAATTTTGGACTTCACTTTTTTTCAGTTCGGTTCCTATAGTCTTTCATAGGTTCGGTTCCGGTTCGGTTCCGGTTCGGTTCCAGTTCGGTTCCGGTTCCTGGCCATGAACCGAACTTCTCATACACTGCATGAGTAGTCTTCATTTGAGGTGTTTCCGGGTGGAATTTTTCGATGAAATTTTGTGAGGTTGTTTTCTATTAAATAAAGATTATATCCACAAAATTTGAGCTTAAAATGCAATCGGGAAGTTAGTTAAATAAATTATTGAAAAACATTATGCCAAAATATATGAAAAAACGCAATTTTTTCAATATTTTATTTAACTCACTTCCCGATTGAATTTTAATCTGCAATTTGGTATATGTAATCTACATTTCATGTAGAACATGCTCACAAAACTTTATCAAAAAAATCTTCACGGAAGTACCTCAAATGAAGGCGGTCAGACGGCCTTTCGGGCAAAAAGTTCTTGTCAAAAATATTATTCTTGCATAATATACCTTATATATTGTGGACCACGCCAATCCGAGTAGTTATCATTTTAATACTTTAGTCCATTTATATATATATATATATATATATATATATATATATTTTGTTTGTAATTGAATTTGTTATTTGAGTTCACTACAAAAAAGAATTAACATTCCGTTGATTACGTTGTTTATTACTACGTAGTTTTTACTTATTGTGCATTACTAGAAGTAGAATATTATTTTGGGGTTGAACTACCTGCTATTGGATGTCTACTCTGGGGCTATTGAACCTTTTTGCTTGACAGTTGATGCCTATTTCAAATCGAGATTTTTGTTATGTTTAAATTTAATGTTGTACTTGGATATGTCTTTGGATTTTTGAACATTGAGATATCATGCATTTATAATGTAATGGTCTTAATTTCGTGATTTAATATTTGAATTTTTTTATGTAACTGAAGTGTGTTCATTTCAGGAGGATAATAAATTTTTGTTAGGAACCGAAAAAAGAACCGAACCGGACCGAATTTAACTAAAACCGAACCGAATTTAACAACTACATTTTTAACTAGAACCGAACCGAATTTAACGCCTACGATTTTTATACGGTTCCATCGAATTTTAACAAGAACCGAACCGATCCCAGGCCTATTTTTTATATATAAAGTAAGAATTTAAGAGTGGTTTGTGTTGACACATTTATCAACAACTAGGCACATTTATCAAATTAACGTCCATACTATTTACACATCTTACGGCATCTAGCATTGAGTTTGAAATTTTGAATACTTCAACTGGACACCATATAGCATTGAGTTTGAATACTTCAATTGGACACCATATGCTATTAAGATTTTAAAAAAAATTATATATATGCAACATTGATGTCAAATTAAAGATATTAAAAATTTAAAAATTTTAATATACACTTTGAGTCTAAGATAGGTACCGTGAGAAACAAATTTTGATAGAAACAAAATTTTGGTATTTGACTTAAGCATTTAGCCTTTAAATTTTTTAAAAATTATATAAGCATTATTGGTGTCATATGAAAGATCATAAAAAATTACGAATTTTGATATATTTTTTGTAAAAATTGAACTTATAATAAAAAGTTATGGTCATTTAAAGAATAAAGAGATTTAATTGAATATGGGTCCCACCAGCTTTCTATTTGTTGCTGGGCAGCCGGTTGATTCCGCGAAACTAATACGAACATAAGTCGCGCTTTCATTGGGCGACTTTCATTAACCCTGGTTGGAAGCAGCAGTACTTTGGTAATAAGTTTTAATTCAACATTAATTTGGTAAATAATTTTTCCTTGGACATTATTTAGGAAAAAACTCTAGATTCGGTCATAAGTAAATAATTATACCCCATGAGAAAATATACGTACATATATCAAAATTTTACTAAATTAGACTACTCCAGATTATATTTAAATATATATACCACAAATTGAATTTACACATGTGAAAAATCCTTTGAATATCAATTAATTAGAACCTACAGCGGACTCAGTAATAATACAAAACTGCATAATCTTGGAAAGTTTTAAAATACATAAAATAGATTTTGCCAAATATTAGCCATGCAACATAAAAGATTATTCTTTAGAAAATTGTTAGTTATTCCACTAACAAATTGGAATACATTTATCTAACTTCATTAAGATAGTGTATCCGTGTATCAAAAACATTTCCGATATTTTAAAATATCCGTACCCATACATTCTAGATCATATTTGATTTTTAAAAAGAGTTCTGGATTTTTTTTATGATTTTTAAATAGCTAGAATCACATATCCTGACAGATAAACATATTACAGTTTACAAAGTACGAAGTAATTTCTTAGAACTTTTAGAGTTCGTGTTCTGTTTTCAAAGTACGGAGTATTTATTTGTCTAAGAACTTTGAGTACGTCCAATTTTATTTCCAGATTATACTACGTAGTTATTTGACTTGTCATTCGGATTTGGAGACTATAATCCAAGAGGGGGATGGAGATGTATTTGAGACTATACCCATGATATGAGATTATGACCTTATTTTCAATTTTCGTTAGCTCTACTTTTCCATAGTTTTAAAATGCAAAAAATTAATGATGCAGGATACAAGGCACTGGCCCTTAATTCCTCCTTTACCTTCATATGGAAGAGGAAGAGAACGACCAGGCGGAAGATATATGAGCTTTATCCACGGAAATGGACTCCAGGATGTGATCATCACAGGCAATTATGAATGCAAAATATAGCCCTTTGTTTTGGAAAACAATGCCTTCAGCTATTCTAAAGCATATTTTAGTGTTCATTTTTTAGAAAACGTTTAATTTGGTCATAGGTGAGAATGGTACGATTGACGGTGAAGGTGAAATGTGGTGGAACATGTGGAAGCGAAGAACACTGGAGTTCACACGACCCAGTCTGATTGAACTCATCAACTCCAGAGGCATTCTCATCTCCAATGTTAATCTCAAGAACTCCCCCTTCTGGAACATCCACCCCGTTTACTGCCGGTATTATCTCGGGGTGTTTCTCTATAAGTTTTCGTCACTTTAATTTAGTCCTCATATAATTATGTCAATTGCACTTACACTATTTAACTTTGAATATCTTTACATTTAGTCATTCAACTATGACTCTGCTAGAATAAGTTGAGGATCAGAAGTATCATTATAACAATAAGTGATTAGAAGTGACAAAAAAAACTATTAGAGACTAGGGAGTATTACTTCACTTAAAGTTGCAAGAAGAACATCATGTCATTTTTTTGTTTTACGACAGTATATAATGTTGATATTCATTTGACAGCAATTTTGTTGTTCGATATGTTACGATATTGGCCCCTGTTGATTCTCCCAATACTGATGGAATCGATCCAGGTTATCACTTCATCTACCCTTTATTTTACATGTAACTAGACCAGAAAAACATATTCCTTCATATATAAAAATTTAGCGAAGGAAGACACATCCGTCAAAAAAGTGCAGAGGTCTGTACTATTTCAGTTATCTCTCATAAGTAAAATATTACGAACTCATAAATAAGATCATCTCATCTTTAGTTAGCTTTTTATATCTGAAACTCGAATTCTAACATGACATCAAAATCAAATATATCGTAAGCGAGTAATGAATCAAAACAAGACTTAAATGAGAACACCATTTTCAATGCTAGTTTGAGGGACAGATCTAGAAATCTGGGTTGGACTGAGCTGAACAGTAATTATACTATGCTTAAATATTACCGGGATAGACTAAATATGAAAACTAAAAAAATTTACACTAAAACATTGAAAAAAATTAAATTGCACTCGGTTTCAGCCCTCCATAGCCCTAAATAAGATCCTTTCCCGGTGCCTAGTCTGCTCTAGTGAGACATAATCTTGTAAGGCACATTAAGTCACGCAACATCTCAGTATTCGGTAAAATATAAATATTCAAGCTGACATATATTTTGAACTACAGTTCCTTAGCTAGAAGTTAATTAACTCTTAGAATGGAACCACAAACTTAATATGTGCAAGATGATCTATGGCAGATTCAAGCTCCCATGTCTGCATAGAGGACTGTTACATATCAACAGGAGATGACCTGGTGGCAGTAAAGAGCGGTTGGGATGAGTACGGCATTGCCTATGCCCGCCCCAGCCACGCCATTACTGTCAGAAGAATAACTGGGTCATCCCCATTTGCTGGAATCGCAATCGGGAGTGAAACCTCTGGGGGCATAGCAGATATTTTTGTCGAACACATAAAACTCTACAACGTTGGGATCGGCATTCATATAAAGACGGGTGTTGGTCGGGGAGGGATCATCAGAGGCATCACAATCTCTAATGTCTACATGCAGAATGCGAGAACAGGCATAAAGATTGTGGGTGACAATGGGGGTGACCATCCAGACAACAGGTTCGACCCGAAGGCTCTCCCGATTGTAAGTGGAATCAAAATCAGGGATGTATGGGGGGAGAGGGTTTTGCAGGCCGGGATGATACATGGTTTGAAGAAAGCTCCTTTTAACCGGATTTGCCTGTCCAACATCCACCTTAATGGTGATGTTACCTACCAGCGAAATCCTCCATGGAAGTGCTCAGATGTTTATGGTGCTGCTATTCAAGTTAGCCCATGGCCGTGCTCACAACTAGCAACTGCTCCTAACCATAAATTTTATGGTGCATGCATCTATTAATTTAACAATTCTATTCTTTTTCAGATTTATTTCAGTTCTCTGCTTGCCACTAGAGTAAACTGTGTAGTAGTTTTGCAAAAGATTACATGGAACTCCAATTCTCTCAAGTGTAAATCACATATAATTTGTTCAAATATATACTTTTCCTTTCTTTCCCCACTAATATGTTTTGTTATCTAATAATAAAACTACAAAAAAAGATATTTTGTTAACTAATGACACAAAGTTGACAACGTTTTACAGTTTATGATTTTATACTATTTTATTAAATTTACTATGGTCAAATCAGAGATGGAATAATACTACTATAAAAGTTAAATTGTTACAACTAATGGAAAACAAATAAAGTGCTTTGTTTATATCTAAAGGATAGCAGAGTAAGACGAGTATGAAAACTCTACATAAGTGAAGAGGTCTTAGAAGCGGGAGAGTTGTTGAAAATGCGCGAAAGCCTCGTCGAGGTCAGAATCTCCATAGTAATGTCTCTGTTAAATTCTCCAGTCAAAATACGGGAAAACTCCAACTAATCTCCATGTTCTTCGAATGGATCTCTTGAAGTACATATATAACATTAATGTGCATACTCGTTATGGACTATACATATGTATGTAGAGTATGAAAACTCTAGATACGTATGGTCCATTGATCCCTAGTAATTCAAGTGAGTTGATAATGAACTGCATATATAATGTGCATACTCATTATGGAGATGCCAATGAAACAAGAATAATTTTGCGATTCACTTCTCATAAGTTTGCAAAAATAATCATCCGATATACATTATCAACAGATTCTAAAAGTTTGACTTCTTTATTAACTTTGTGATTCACTTCTCATATGTTTGCTAAAAATATCCTTGATTAAACTTTTGCGAGAATCAGAGAGGTAACTTCTAATAACAAAATTCTCGTTAATAAAGAATTAACAAATGATGAATTAGTTTTTACTTAATGATTTACATTTACTGTATCAAACACTTGCAAACAGCTAACAAAAAGCTAAAACATTTAATACAAATCTATACCGCTTCAACAGCCAACTTCTACGATCTTTACTAAATTAGGGTATAACCTTTTTAAGAATCATTTTATATATGACAAATAACTTGTCATCTATACAGTGAGATGACTCAAAGATGTTCTTGTTCTAATTGTATTTGAAAATAACAAGCAGTATTAAAAAACTATTAACATCAAACAGATTCTAAATAGGATGATTATACACTGAGTATATGATTATAACCTGCATTGTTTTTTTTTTGTTACATGGGAAAAGTTTATAATCTGCATTATGATTTACATGGCTGGCTCCTAAACTCGGAGTGTATATATACATTTGTCAATTTCTTCTTCCATCATCTACATCACACACGGATGCGATTTTTTATTTACAAACTATGAACAAGCAATACAAAATGAAGATTAATTCAAATCCAAAAATTGATTTGCACCTTTGATTCTTTGAAGCAGAGCAGCAATTGGCATTCTTCTTCAAATTCAGAAGTATTGATTCAACATTTTGCGGAATTGCTTCTGGATATAGCTTTCCTTCTGTTCATTTCCGTACCCCTCCGCCTCCTCCGCCTTTTCTCCACGGTCACCGCCCCCGTGGTTCAAATTCTCGGAATTCATGTCGTGGCCGTTTTCCGGCGAACTTTTCGTGACCTCGTCTTCATGTTGGTGGAGATGGTGGGGACCGTGGTTCTGGTGGAGGTGCGGCAGGAACTTAACCCACTTCGGCGTGACGTGGCTATAGCTGCCATGCTCGTTTTCCGACTGACGGCTTGAAATTGAAACCACCTCCTCGTTAAAATCGTGGTGCCGGTGATGGTGGTTTCGGAACGGGAACATATTCGGCTGGACACGTCCGCCGTGGAACACCTCCTGATTGAAATCGCCGTTTCCGGCGAACGAGAGCGCCATTCCATCTCCAAAGGGGATTTTGACGTGATATTCGTCGGGAATGATTTCTTCGATGTGGTGGAGGTGGTTGTGGCGGCATAGACGGTAGGGGATACCTGATCTCAGCCGGAATTGACGGTTTATCGGACGGAAACCGGCTCTGTTAAACGGCATGCCCTCCACTGCGGCGGCGTCTTTTGCTTCGGGCTCCACCGGACGGACTTTCTCATTGTTGGGCTTGGTCTGTGCTTCATCGTCATTTACTTCCGGCCTGCCTTTAGTGGGCTCCTTATGCTCATGAATTGAATCAGGATGGGCTTCTACGGCCTCATTAGAGTTGGAATGTTGCTCGAGAGGTCTATTTTCGCCGCTGTTGGTCTCGGGCTGGTGCTCAATTTTCTGATCATTCTCCACATGTTTATTTACCGGGCCGTTTGAATCCGAAGAATGTTCTGTGGGCCTTTTCTCCACCTCAGCATTAGACTCGGGCTGGTTCTCAATAGGCCCATTTTGTTGGTCGACTTTATCGGGCTGGGCCAACATTTCGCTAGGGAGGCGAAGAACGCTCTTGACGTCATGTTCCGGAAAGGGATTGGAGAACTGGTGAATGCTGACGCCATACTTCGGTTTTCTGATCTGAATGCGAGCCTGCGACGGTGAAAGGGTGAAGAGGAGGAGGGTGACGGCGACGGCGATGGCGACTCTGATCATGTTTAATTCAATTTGTGTATGTTTGTTTATGATTAAATACTCCGTAATGCATAATTAAAAAAGGAATATTTGATTGTGAAGGAGGTATATATTGCATAGAATATGGGAAAGAAGTATGGGTGAAAGGGGCAAGATGGTTTATTACCGTCGAATTAATTAACTAATTGAGTTAAACCACATAGCGCATACATATTGGATTGGCATCATCCTCCACTACTTCCGAGATGCCGATTTTGGCTCTTCTTCGATAATTATGAATGAATGAAGGAATAGACTTCCGCTTGGAGAATTTCTTTTCTTTTTTTAGATAGAAAAGTGTCAAATAAGAGAACACGTATATATTTTTTAATCATTGAACACGTATATTTTTTATAACTAGTTTTGTACCCGGCGTTGCCCCGGGCAACTTGCGTGTAGTATACTTCCTCCGTTCTTAAATAAGTGCAACACTTTCCTTTTTCGGCAGTTTCAAAATAAATGCAACCTTTCTATTTTGGGAAGGAAATACTAACCTTTCTATTTTCATATTGTATGTTTATAATATTTTATTGTATCAAGTTACTAATTCCTATTCGTACGTAAAGCACCAGGATGTGTATTTATGATAATAATAATAATAATAACAACAACAATAATAATCCTATACCTAAAAGCACTACACTGGAGAGAGAAATTTCTCCCGCCTAAGCTCTGGCCTAAAATATAATTTCGCCGCTCAGCATTTTTACGCTCACCACTTCTCCTATCCAGCATTCCAGCCCACCTCCTAACTTATGCCTTCTCCTCTCTTGTTCTTCACCCGAATTTGCATACGATTTCCGTGGATCGCTTTACCGCACCCTTACCCATACTATTTCGAAACCCTCCCCACCTTCTCTTCGACGTTTTAAGCATTTCATTGAAGAGCTCCAGTAGTTCTGATTTTCTGAGCCGCATGGAAGATGAAGTCACCCAGCCACTTGAATTCATCGAGTATCACTTTCAAGCAGCTATTTTTGTATGATTCTATTGACTTAAGTAACCCTATTCTTCCATTCCAGTACAGAAAATCAATTTTGCTGTAAAAGAGCTATATAGCCGCTCGATTTGACGCTTCTTCTTCCAGCAATTGAAGAACATATTTGTGTTGGGTCAAATGTCAGTCTCTTCTTCTTCCAGCAATCGAAGAACAAAGGTTTTCCATTCAAATTGATATTATTATATACTATCGTATTATACTCCATATTAGGAATTATGATTTTTTCTATGATCTAACTTTCTTCTTCGGGCGAACGGGGGGCATATTTGCTGTCAAACATAACTATGGCCCTAACCATCTTTTGTTGGGAGAGGTGATGGACGAGAACTTGCAATATAATGCTATGGCTTGATAACCTACAATCCTAATATAATTTCTATTTCTACAGACAGTTTTGATGATAATCTTGCATTCTTAATTTAAGATTTCTTAAGAAGCCCCAACCTAATTTTTTTTCATAATCGTAGATTTTTTCACAATCCTAATTAGGTATAGGATTTTTCCTATAGTTTTCAATACTTTTCTAACTTTGTTCTTAAATTTTATACTTAGATTTCAATTTAATCTTATTATATTAATGGAATGCAGAACATTAGGTTGTTAAATATGACCAATTGTGCAACAAGTAGTTCATGTTCCCCATCCTGTGACTTTGAGTGTTTGATTGCACTTGACCTAGGTGTGTGCTGTTCATGATACTATGTTAGGATTCCATGGCTACCTTGCTGGGAGTATTTCCTTATGCTTCACACATGTGTGCAATATTGTTGATAAAAGTGTCCTTCTCTACCACGAAATACTTTTATTTTTATTTTTAGTTCTTATGAAAGTGTTATTCTTTCCATTGTATCATGCAGGTAGTTCTACTGACTGTTCAAGTACTAGGATTAAACTCTGAATTTGTAATTATCAGAGTTTTAGACCATATCTCTTGACAGCTTAATTTCATTAGTGTGGCTAAATCTTTAAAGCAAGTTTAGTTTGGTAAGCAAATTTAGTTCAGCAAGTATCATTTTCACCAAATCAATACTAAGGGTCACTCTAAGCAGCCTGCAAGTGAACTAAAAGGGATGACTGTATCACTGATGTTATAACCAAAAGAATATAATAATAGCAAATAAACATGAAGTGAACTAAAAAACTAGGCAAAGAGGAAAATTCAGATTCTATATGGTCATCTATTTTTAGTGTTTGCAGGGTTGTTTGGTTCGGTTATAATTGTTCAGTATCTTAAATTTCCGTATGGAACCTTTTCAGGAAGTCTCTTTTCTCCTGACAAGTTTGGATGGTGGCATTCAATGATAAGGAATCAAATCCACCAAATTGGTGATCTTAGTTTCACTTCAGAGATGGAAACCAAATATTTCAAGAATGAGTTCACATTAGGAAATGGATCTGACATTTTAAAATCCAAAATCAAACCAAATGAGATGAAGAACCTGTTCATCTTGGGATCCTATCATGCAAGGAGATAGTGCCATTGCACATAAAGTTGATGGACCTACTGTAATTAGAATGAATAAAAGAAAGATTGAAGATACATTTGCAGATTATACTACAATTCAAGGGTATGAATATGTTCTTTTATTCACTTATTCATATACTTTTAATTCCTATACTTTTCAATATTCACATATAATAAATGCCCTTTCCAGTTTGAATGTCTTATTCGATATGCCAATGTAAATAATTTTAGCCAATTGAGCAAATTCTGGTTCTTAAATTTTTACTTACTTTTCAATTGAGCATGAATTTGATTTCACAATGACATGTTTTATGTCAAAATTTTCCCTTGGTGCACCAATTTTGCAATGAAATTTCAAATTAAGTCAGTGTTGATTCATGACTACATATATCGTCAAGAATGGTTTGAAAGTGATTTCGCTTACGAAATGTTGATTCATGACTACATATATGGTCATGACTACATTCTTTATTTTGTGATTTTCACATTTGTTTAATGCTTTAATGTGAGACGATTTAAATGTTCTTTTAATGTGTTTTAGAATGTTTTCTGAATGAAAAATGATGGCCGAGCTGCAGTTAATTAATCAATGATTTCTATAATTACAACATAGAATATTTTAATGTTTTCTGATTATTATAATGTAGGTGAACTAATATAATTATTAATAAATAATAATAGAAATATTACAATTTAGATTTCTTTTATAACTAAAATTTAGATTTATATTATCATATTAATAATTAATATGAAAATTAGATACCCAAAGTTACTAAGATTGCTCCCTAATAATCAGTGTTCTTAGACAAGGTGAGCGAACTAAAAGCAATCGCCTCTGGAGGGGGTGGGGTGGAACCTGCAGGAGATGAAGAAGAATATGCAGTGTTCTTAGACAAGGTGAAGCAGACAGTTTTCTGATGCTGCTATGAGCCGCCTTCAACCACGTTTCTATCCTCATTTAAAACTAATTGATTTTGCATTTAATTTTGTCAGGTTTGCAGTACTTTATTTGTTTTTTATATTCAAAGTAATAGAGGAACTATTAAGGTTTTTAAATTTTCTACTATCTTGTGTTTTGATGAAACATTGAATCTTGCTTTGGGTTGTCTTTCTTTTCTGAAAATCAAACTCAACATAAGAAGTAATTTCCCTACCATTTTTTAGAATGTCAAACATCTCAGATTTCAGGGGCCAAAGTTAGTTAGGCAGTATATCCCAATGGTTTCGACTACAAATCTAAGAAATTCATTCTGATGAGAAAATACTAATTGCTTTTCCAAATATTTTGTAGCTAAACAAATTCCAATTGGGGTTTGGTTTAACCCTGGAAGGAGCTGCAACAGATAGAAAACATCGATGGTTGGGTGAGTTAAGTTAAGGTATTCTATATTTACTTGAATTATTAACATAAGTTTACATGTTTATATATTTTATACCTGAATATAAACATGTAATTTTTCATAGCTGCTCATTCTGTATATTATATTGGATAGGATGAACACTGAAGCTAGCACAAAAAATTGAAATTCAATTCCTTTTTTAGTGAAATCTGCTTATGTAGTAATTATGTTATCCCAGATTATTGAAAATATAAACAATAATATAATACTACGTATAAGATTGATGACCTTTTAGATGATAAAAAATCAAAAAATGACATGTTGTCTGTGTTTGTGTGTGTTGAAGTTTTTAATTTTGTACGATAAAGTTAATTCAATGGCGCCAAGTGATTGGGACTCCATAATGCAGTTGATTCAATGGTGTAATGTTCTGATGCATAGGCCAATGGTTTCACGTAAATAATTTTGAAATACCTGTCCAAAGAAATACCATTTGTTTATATTTTGGTACTTGGAAACTATTAGCTAAATAAATAATGAATGCTGAGAGCCTGAGAATAAATAGTTTGTGAGGACTTTTGCTTGGAGAGTAAGAGTATTTTATTAATCCTTTTTTTGTGCTTATCTTAGACTAATTTTATGAGATTCAATGTATGTTACTCCGTATTTGGTTAAGTCTTTCCTGATTTCCTTTCCAGAGCAAGATCTATACACTTAAGATGGAGCATGAGTTGGAAGTAGAACAACCAGTGAAGTCCGGTGTTTTGAGGGCCATTAATTTTGACAAGAAATCAACCTTGGATGCTGTAAGTATATAATTTTAGTTTAAACATATGTTTTATTCTATTTTAGTTATTACTATAAAACTTTAATGTAAGCTTTTTATTTTTATTTTTTACTTTAGAAAAATTAAAAAAAGTGCAGGACATTAAATCTCTAAAAGTGTGGTGCATCTTCTGAATCTTCTGATAAAGGGTTTGTTATGCCTTGATCTAGATGGAATAGGCATTTGCCTGAGCCCTGAAGAATCCATCGAAAGTGTTACAAACGTGTCAAAAAGTTATGCAAACAAGCAAATACGGAGTAAATCTACAAAATCTATGTAGGGTTACATGATTTTATAAATTTATTGAACCGGGACAAATTTAAATAGCTGTAATTTTGGCCAAACATGACTTTTTGGGCAGAGAGATTAAATTTTTATGGAGTTTAACTATCCATTTAACTGAGTAAAAAACATTGTTTTAGATTCTAATGATTCTGTTAACACAACAGACCTGATATGGCATCTTGAATTAGTTGTATCTTTGTGTTCACTATCTCTCTGTTTAATTGTTAGAAACTTAGAATGGATTATTGCTTCTTCATATATGCATAAGGGCATGTCCTACACAAGATGTTACCCTGCTAACTTGAAACTGTGTCTTCAAATGAATAACCCTCTCATGATATTATGGTAGGTTTGCAGGGGGGGCATATGGTTATGCTTGTGG